AAAACACTTTTAATAATTGACTGCGTCTTTATCAATTGTAGCGAAGAAAAAGGAATTGTTCTATGGGCTTTTTGACTTCTGAACGTATTGGAGCTCTCTGATACTCAGCAAGTTGTCTGGTGCTGTCTTCACTGAAGACTTTTATGTAATGAAGAGGCTGATTGTCATATTTTTGTCCATGCTGGAGGCCAATAACCCAACCCATTCATTATCAGAAGAGAGTAGCCTGGAAGTTGCAACATCAGGACCACTGTTTTGCTTGCAGCAATAGAGTGCTGAGATTGGGAATTGTGATTTTCAGTACAGAAAACTGGAACATGTGGTTGTTTACCCGCTATGGGAATCATAGGTGGCCAGAGATGTTTGCATTAGCTCAGACATAGAAAATCCAGCAGCCCACTGGAATGGGATGTGCTCATTCTTGGGAAGCACAAGTTTCAGCGGGCAAAGGAAAATCTGTAGGAGTCGTTTTGTGTCATGTTTTGGCTTAAAGTTAACTTTGAATTGCACAGGTGTTTGTGGAGTGCTTTGCCTTAATAAATAAATAAATAAATGCATGGTTTTAGATGAACTTTATAAAAAATTGAAGAGAAAGCCATAAACAGATTTATTTTTACAGTTTGAATAAGGACAGCTACAGCTTTTATTATCTTCTGATTTAGCGTGTTTTGATGGCACTTGTAAGTAAATTTAAATTTTAATCTCTGAATTTCTCTCAGGTATGAGTAGATGTGTGTACGCTCTTCGTTATTGCTAAGAGCAGGACTGTACCGAAAAGGCATTTTTATATCCTCTCATTCACACCTGGCATTTTTTGCCTTATTCTTTACCCCATCTTCTTTCGGGCATTTTGTGCATCTGTTTCAGAAGTGCAAGCAGTTTGGATTCAGGGAAATAGATGAAAGAATAGAATACGTCTCTTTTTTTTTTTTCTTTTTCTTTTTTAAAGAAACGCAAATAAAACTTATTTCTGGCAACTGTAGATGAAAATCCAAATTTCTGTAGCAATGACACTCCGGGCACAGATATTCTCTGAACAGGAAAAAAGAAAGGGTTACTGGAAGAAAACATGCAAAAGCAAAATCATTCTGCAGTGCTTAATTGGATGATCTTAAGGTTATGGTACAAACGTGGGTTCTGGTTTCCAGTTGCGCAGCCAAATACAGCATACAAACTTTTTATGAGGAAGTCACTGATCAGAATCTGACCTTGGATAGAAACGAGAAAATCGTAATGATCTGAGGGGTGTTTGTTGCTTATCATGAAATAAATGAGTGGTGCTGGTCTGAATCTGAGTGGATCACAATAACTGCTGTGACATTTTTGCTCCTGTTGGCAGGTTAAGCAAGGAAGCCAGGCACCGAGTGAGAGATCTGAAGTATCTGTTCAGAGGTAGCAGCCATCAGGATGAGCAAAGAGGCATGGGAATAGGGTAGGGATCTGGGTTGCCTCTGCCCAACTGCACCAGCGCTGTGACTGAACGCACTCCCAGGGGGAAGCTGCTTCCAATATTCTGAATTTGGCACCTTTCCCTTATATTTAAATTCGCTCTAATTTTCAGGTGCATCTTACTAGATAACCAGATGCATCAAAAAAGCAAAAGAATTATAGAGCAGTAATTACAATTAGCCTTGTTGTCTGTTTTTTGAAAATTGCAAGATGGGGCCTTGAAAGTATTTTGAAATTTTTTTAGAGATCTTAATCTAAACACTCTATGCGAGATTGTTTTTTAAAGAGAAGGGTTCTTTAGGTCAAGCTGAGCTATATTAAAGACAAACAATTTTGTTAGAATCTATCTTTTAAACACAGATGAAGAAAACAGAACTAAAATAGCCACAGCAGTCTCAGTATCCAATCTTTTCTACATTTTGCATTGCAATATTTGAGAGTCCAATAACCGAACGTAGAACTAGGTAATTCCTCACAAGTATTTGTCATGCTATGAAAAAAGCAGTGCTGCCCATCATGGCAGGATGTGAACGGAGAAATCTTCAGGTTGCAGCGCCTGAAAATAATGTTGGCTGCTTAGATAGCACTGCTGTAGCATGGGGCGAGCAACAGAGCTGGCTGCTTTGACACCGGCTGCTCTGCGAGGCGTTGGTGTCCAGCTGTCCACCTGTGGCATCTCAGGCTTCCAAGGGCAGCCAGCGCTTGTTGTGAGGATAGAGGTTGGTGGTGTTTCTCTGTGCTCCGCAGCTCCGGAGATCAGGCAGCGGTTATCCAGGTGGGCTTCCCACAGTGCCAGGGGAAGGCTGCTCTGGAAGATGTGGCCCTGGCTCAGTTTTCTGGACAAGAAAAGAGAAGCAAGAGAGGATGAAAAGAAGAGTAAGAGCTGCCTGCTGTGGGCTGCACAGTGATGTGGGAGAGCCTGGCACAGGGGAGCTGCCTGCGGCTCCAGCTCAGCCACAGGGCATTCAGGGGAGCCTTTGGCCTCAGGTTGGTCAGGGCACTACGCTGCAGAGGGATGAGTGGCAGCCCTGCTCGTTCCTTTCCTATTAAGCTGATCTCAGCCTTAATACAAATTTTGTTAAAGCTTCTTTATGTTACTTCTTAACATCATGGTAAACACCATTAAAAACTTTCCATTTTATGCCTTTGGGATGTGCTGTTACTGTCACTGTGGATCTTTGCGACAGGTGGGAGCCGTGCTGTACTCACGGATGTTCGGGAGGGGTCCCTACCACATACCACCATCCACTTGGTCACAGCCACATGCATCACTTCTCCAGCAGTCCCAGCCCCTGCTGATCCAGGAGTTGCTCCTGGTACCCATGAGGTATTGCCGTGCTAGGCTGTAGGGCTGCCCTTCCATTTAATTTGTGCAGTGATACCACAGTTTGTGTTAATGTTGTTTTATTTCACTCTTGGAAGTTGCTCTCTATAGATCTGGTCAAACATTGTTACCATCAATCTTGTCTCTGGAATATCAACAGCAGGTATAGATAAATACAGATATGTCCCTTTCATGTGAAATGTAAAAAAAGCGTGGATAAATAGGAAACTCAAGCAGAATTACTTCATGCAAAGGATAATAAACATATGGGATAAATTACTGGCAAGGAAAGGATAAATGAGTTCAAGGGAAGCCTAAGCTTGTTTTTTGAGAAAGAGCATGTGAGAGCTGGGGTGAAGAAAGCAAGGAGGTGTAAAGTCAGGTTTCTGTTAACATAGGCTAGCACGGTGGCCTGGATGCTCATGTCCCAGTGTTTCTTTTGATAGTGTGCCACATGGGTGGTTACATTTTATTTTCATGTATGTTTGTTAACATTGGTTCTATAGGTCTACAAGTGTTTTTTTTCTTATGGGGTGAATAGCAATGTTAAAACATAGGGAGGTGCCAACTTTTGGTTCTTATATCAGTGTTTTTCAAGGGAGAGATGTGACGGTGAAGTATCTTACATTGATTGAATGAATTAGGGAGAAATCTTGTCTTCTCTTGGGTAGGTTTACAACTGACAGAAGAGGAAGAAACTGTTTCTACTGTATGGACAAAGAGTTTTTGATAGGGGTTTGTCCTGGCTAAACCACTGGTGGAACAGTTCTACAAAACAAACAAACAAACAAAAACCATGATAATATTTCTTTTTCTTTATCCTTTTTCTTTTCTTTATCCTTTTTCTTTTCTTTTCTTTTCTTTTCTTTTCTTTTCTTTTCTTTTCTTTTCTTTTCTTTTCTTTTCTTTTCATTTGTTTTTTTCCACATGAGTTTGCATGGACATAACACCGGGTTTCAGTCTCTGAGATGATGTCTGAGTTTTTTGAACGCTGAGTGTTGACTCAGTATTGAAACTGCAGCTACAGGTAGCTTTTCAATGAACCTTTGTTTCATTGGAATGTACCCTGCATTTTTTATTGAACTGATGGGTCTCTTCACAGAGAAAAATGCATAAAGGTTAGAAAAAATTTTCATTGATTCTGGTGTGGTTTTTAGGATCCAATTCTGCACCTCTTTTTTCAGTTGGGGTAAGACTGAGTCCATAGAGAAAACCTCAGTTCCATACCAGGCAAGTTTCTTGTGATTTCTAGTTTCACCAGAAATAGAATGTGCAACTCCATTGGTTATAAACTTAGTACATAGCCCAGTGTTGTCAAAAAGCTGGTAAGATCCTGAATAAACTTTTTTTTTTCTAGTTTCATGATTTCAAGTACAAAAAGAAACCCAACCTTTTAGAGTTTATAAATGCAAAGGTTATGGTCTGTCCAAAATTGAAATATATAATACAATGACTTTATTTACCTTTTAAAGAGATCTATTCTTCATTGATTCATTGAGATTTTGCTATAGGAGTGTAATTTCTCCTAGGGCTAATAAAATAACTAGAAGAAGATAACCTAACATCTTTATTAGTACCATAATACCAGCTAAGAAGACTCTCCTGGACTAAATACTCCCTTCTTCAGAATTTACTACAAAATTTCTTATAAAATAGCTTAAATATTTTCAAATATCCTTGACTGTTATAAGAAGAAAAATTTGAACATCTTTCTTTTCTTGAATATGGAAATCCAAATATATGCGTATATATATATATGTGTGTGTATCAGATGTGTATATGATTGATCAATGTGCTATTAGGTAAATGAGCAGTAGGAAATCCACAACCACTTCTGGATTAGAATTTCAGTCTATCAAATGTTTTGGTAGAGTCTTTGGCATGCTAGGTACTTTCCAAATATAGAAGTATTGTTTCTGGCCAGAATGAGCTAGAATTTTCTTATTGCAGTTGAAAAATACCAGTTCATTAGTTTACAGCAACATGCTACATCTTCGAAGAATTTCTGAGGTCCACAATTGAATTTCTGCTCAAAATGAAAGAGCTGCATCTCTGCTCTTCGTTATGGACTGGTGATTATGAAATGCACCTGGGTTGCTGGAGAGCTGGAGTCAGATTGCTCCTCCCATATCTGATTTGAATCAGCTCCTTCAAATCAAGTTTCTCACATCCCAGGTGAGTGCTCTAATAACAGCTTTGGCTCTCCCAGGGTGGGTCTTTTGAAGTTCCATCTTCAGGTTATTCTAATTTAAGTAATTGTTTAATGAGTCAGGAGAAGACTGATTCTTAGCTTGAACATTCAAGTGTGATGTGAGAGGCTGGGTCTGGCTTTGTTTGGTTGCAGATTCTTCTTCCTCACGTTGCTGAGTACGATATGGTGAGAATCCTGATATTTTTAATGTTGTTTTACTGTTCTCTTGAAAAGTTGGAAAAGGTTGTTGCTAACAGAATAGGAAGAAACTCTAAAATGGTTCACTATTTAGCTGCGTGTTTCTCCCAGAATGTTTTCAGTTCTATGATGATAGAAGTTAGTCGGTAAGGGAGCATATCTTGCAAAGAGTTTTTTTTCCTCAAAAAGGAGTTTTGTTGCTGTTGTTTTATTGTATGGATTGTGTATGTGAACAAAACTGATCCCTACATCCTTCTGAGATTTAAGCCTCTAGCTGTAGGAGGCACAACAGGTGTTGGGTTGGACCCTTTTATTGTAAATACCTTGGACCTTTCTGCAGATGTGGATGGTACTTTTCCTACTGCCAGGTGGGGAGAAATGCCCTGTAAATGCCAACAAATGCCTTAGAGAAACTGTGCTGTTAGTGCTTAGATTTCCTCATAGAGAAATCCACATGAGATATTAAAGACTTACAGAACTGGTAGGTTTTTCTGGTGGAATTTCTTAGGAGGGAGAAGAAAAAATATCTTTGTCTGTAGAAGAGGGATCCACAAAGAGAGGAAACCCTTCTTTCCTTGCAGTCAGAAATAGTAATTTTGATAGCTTCTGTCTCCTCTGTCTTTCATTCTTAACTTCTCTGGCAGATCCCATGCTGAATTGGTTGGTTCCCCTTCTGGCTGCTCTGCAACAGTGATGGATGGGAGCCAAGGGAATAAATATAGCTCTTAGTTTCAGTAGTAACCCCCTGCCAGACTTACACACAGAAACCTGGGAGGTCACTGCAGGGAGAGGGAATGGGTGATGCAGAGGTTGGGCAGGCTCGGATCTGGCTTCTCCAGCAGAGATATTCCTTTAGTCCCAGGCAAAGGGGAGAGGTGCTGCAGGAACCCATCGTGTCGTCTTTTCTGCGGAGCTGATGGGATCTGTAGATATGGTTGAAAAGCGGTTACCATTGGCTGTGCAGTTTCCATGTGAGTTTATTAAATGTGAACATTTTAATATGTAAAAATAACTTCACCATTTTGTTATTTCCTTTTACGTATTTCACTCCGGTTGGAAAAATGAAATCAATCTAGTCAGCTTTTCATCAGTTTCTCTTTGGCTGTCATGCAGTTGCACAATGCTGCAGTGCTTGGCTAGCAAAAATGTTTACAACGAAAAATTGTTTTCAATGGGATTAAAAAAAGAACCATGGAAACATTTTTATTGGTCTTCAATTTCTGTGCAACTTTTAGTTTTTACAGGACCTCAGCTACATCAGCGACATTTCTTTGATTTTAAAATACTCTACTTTTTTTTTTTATATGTGCATGCAGTGTGTAGCCAAGATACAATCCCATGTCGTGGTACAGAAAATGTGAGCCAGACTGTTTTTTAGGAGTTGGTTCAAAATCTGTGGAAATCCACGAGCACCTCATAGCTGACTTTGAAAGACTTCAGGTCAGACCCTTACTCAGCCACGTATGTGTAAATGCCTGGTGTAGTTGGGTGAAACCACTGCGTCACTTAGAACTGATCTGAGTTGCTGTCATCTGGCAGTGCTGCGGTGTCTCTTCCTAAAGCTTAGATAGATTTGGGGATATGTCTGCAACCCTTGTAGACCTTTACTGCCACTGTCACCCTGAGAAATTTTACGTGCAAAGAAGGCATAAAGTCATATTCTTGGTAGATAAACCATAGCAAGATACTTTGGAGTGAAGTACCAGCTGAAGGTTTCCTTTTAAATGTTTGTGATAAATGTTAGTTGGTTTAGACTTTAGTTTATTTTGCTTTATGGTATAAATGGCAAAGAGCTATTCTAGGGAAACTGCCCATATTTATGGATACTGAAAACTGTGTCTTTTTCCTGAAGTGATAGTTTCTTGTGGGTATTGGTTGTTTTCCTCTCATGACTGTGCCTAGTCAGTGAAGGTTGATTGGCAAGATGATAAGGGCAGTGCTGTTTTCTTAACACTTTTGTACTGTATGAACTCCGGCAGTGTGAGGAAGTGCTGCAGCTTTCCAGGGGCCTCTGCTGCTGATAACGGAGTGATCTGATGGCAGCACCTGGAGCTTCTCTCACTGTTCTCAGGCTGCCTGACTTCCAAGCTACGTTCAGTGCCCTTCAGTTGCCAGCACCAACTCTTAGTAGTGGGGAGGAATGAGTATCGTGTGTTGCCTTTGGGAAGTGAAAGCCTTGGTCTTAGAGAATCATGGATTTCACAACCCCAAGCTTGTAAAACACTTTTCCAGTGCTTCATGAAAATTCACTGCTGAGTTCACTAATTGATGACCTAAATGAATGCTTTAATGACGAGATCCATGGCTGTCTTATATCCTGTTTTTCAGGTGTGAGCTGGATCAGTCAAATTTAACTTGCTTTTAGTTGAAGCCATCACCACAGAGGCAAAGAGATACTGTTTTATAAATACCATTTCCAAGCCTCTTTCAGATGCCAACTGTTGATGAGCTATTTTACACTCTTACCTCTTACTTAGCAAATACATCTTCTGCACTGAGCTCCCATTCACCGTTAAGTGAAACAACTTGCATTTGATGAAGCAACTTCTGTTGTGACATTGGCAGAGGTATTATGATCTATGATTTACATTTTTAATAAAACCAGATAGATTTGGAAACTATTTACACATGTAAAGTCTGTAATGTAATGCAGTTTTCATTCCTCTCTTCTGTAGAACATCTAAAGTAGATTTGATACCTCTAACAACCTGGCTAGTGCATATTCTTCAACTGCATGGCATTTGTTCATGTACCTTTTTCAGAAGATATCAATGTTTTTAATCAGACAGGGACTATTTTTCTGCTCATACTTTGCTTTGACGAAATTTTTCTGTTGGGAGATGGAGCTTTTGAAGAAGTGTTTCATATATTTGAGTCAAATAAAATATTACCTATTGGAGCGATAGACCCTTTTATGTTACTCCTTTACAAATACAGATTTACAGATACATCCTCAGACAATTCTTATTGTTGCTAGCTCTTCTGACACATAATATATCTTTTACTAATTGTACTTCTATTACTGATTAAAATATATTTATTCTGGAGCAAATGTTTGCTTTTCTTTTTGAAAGACAGAATCCTACAATTTCTGATTTGTTAATGAAAATACCCTTGACTACTCCAGTTACTTTTTTTTTTTTTTTTTTTTTAAGTTTCAATAGTTGTTTCACCTTTCTCTTTGTTGTTGCTGGTAGAGCTGCCTAAAATAGGAAAAAAAGCCCAACAAAACAGAAGTTAAAGGAGAAGCACTGGCTTTCAGCATGCTTCCAGCTCCATGTAGATGTACCAGAGCTAGAGTTTGACTACAAAACATTTTTCTCAGGGTCTCTCTGTGGGTTGCCACAGTGCTAGGGAAACATGTTGTCAGGAGAAACAGGGCTGGCAGATAACATGAGGAGGAGTATTGCACATGCCTTTTCAAGCTGGTTTTGAAGGCAGTTTTTTCTCCTTTCACAATCTTCTCTTATTTGAAATAGGAAATCTGTTTAAAAAGTAAAGGAGGGGTGCCTCTTAAACTCTTTCTTTCGCCTGGACTTGACTTTTTCTTTTTTATGTATTTGTTCAGAAAGCATTATGTGTGTAAATGGAATTTAGTATTGGTGAACCATGTGCTCTGCCAGGCTTGGGAGCCATTTGTATCCTGTTCTGGTTCTTAGGTGTTTCTTGGCCGTCTGCTTACAGAGTGCACAATTTAGTCCCCTTTTAGTTACTTCCATTTAGGATTTGCCCCCTGTTGAGATCATTATTTAATACTAGGACAGCTTTTTTATGTTGAGTAGAGATCGTTTATTTCTATAGAAATAAGAGGACTTAACAGCAGTGCACAATCAATATGCAAAGTCCTACGAAGATAATCTGTATTTAAATGTGAACAACATTAATTCTAAACAATCTTCAGCCCTTATTTAGTTTAATCATCGCTGGACATCTAGGTGACGAAGGCTCTTCTAACTTATTAGTTTATTATCAGCAGTATTGCCAACACTCAAACCCTTCAGTTAGGTATCCCAGTTACCTATTATTCTATTAGGACTTGATGCTCTATGGTTGAAGTCCATCATGAAACTCCTCTTGCCAAGGCGCAGGTGCCCCATCCTTCTATAAGCATGTGCATGTGGGGTTTGACAAGTGCACAAAGTGAATGTAAATAGGAGTTGCTGAACAATAGCATTTTATAGTATGTTTGCATGTGTTATAACTCAATTATATGAAGATATCCACAGAAAGAACAAATTGCTTATCTTTGACAAACTGATTTGATAAGAACAAGGAAACTTTAAAATAGACTCATCTTTTTGTTTAGTGTTTTTTTTTCCTCTGGTTTGTGTTTAAATTGTATAAGGAGGGTGTTTTTAAGAAAAGTTTCTGTAGCTTTTAGGAGTTATTTCGTGCTTGTGTGGAAGATCGTATGTTCCTTCAGCTCTGAATAGCTTGTGGTTCTTTATCATTTGTTTTGCAAGTCCTGATATCAGATATTATAAGTGTTCCATTCATATAGGTGTAAAGAATGCCAGTTACAGCTGTGTAGTGAAACCTACTGCTGCAGTGCTGTGACTCCACTTGTATGCTGTACTACTTGAGCTCATCTTATAAAGAGCATTTATGCAGTAGCATCTGAATTAGCATGGAATCAGTGGTATTGAAACACGTGTTTAGTAGTTTTGCTTAGATTGGCTGTTGAGTGTTACAGCATGTGCTTAGGAGTGTGCCGAATTGTGTCCTCTGACGTAAGGGAAAGTCAAAGCAGTGGAATACTCTGAAATTTTGGTCATAGTCGTTAGTTCAGGACTTGAAATTTATGTTGCTGAATGTGGGTGTTACAGTGTTTTGAAAACCTTCAAAGAACACTATTATCAATTATTTTTTTAAATCTCTGTTGCTCCCATCAATAATCCATATGATGTGAAGAGTTGCATGTGGTCTTGTAAGTATTTCTTAAATTTGCTGGAGGTGTAGGTTTTTAAAATCGTGGTTCAAAGGAGTAA